AATTTTCGGTATTTTGGGTTCTTGAGCACGTTTTTCAACCGAATACGCCGAAATTTGGTACATTGGGTTCCTAATACGTTCCAAATCTCTCCACAAAAAATTATGAATATAGGTCCATTTTTTCGGATAGCCCCCATATAAGAGTACCCCCAATTTTCGGTATTTTGGGGTTCTTGAGCGCGTTTCTCAACCGAATTTGCTGCAATTTGGTATTTTGTAGTCGTAGATGGTAACAAATCTCCCTACCAAAAATTATTAATATTCGCCCCCTTTTTGGAGTAGTCCCCATATAACACCCTTTTTTTATATTAAAATAGTTATCTGATTTATTACGCGTTTTGGGTTTGGTTCTAAGACCCTTTTGTAATCATTTCAACTGCGGAGGATAGAGAGATAAAAAATTAGAACGTAAGGTTCGGTAGTGAACTATAGCCGCATTTAGACCTAGACCCTGATTGGATGTTCCAGAAGGAGTGGACCGATATTCCCCATCTTCGAATTTGAACTAAGCTTGGAAGAAATAATAAGATGGGCAAAGTTCGGATGAAATCTAAATTTTCTGAAACGGATTTGGTCCAAAGAAACATGGGGTCTAGAACCAATATTTCGATGAGGCATATTTTCACCGTATTAAAGTGTATACACCCTCATTAGCCATAAGGCTTTTCATTTCTAGTACCTGTCAATATATCTATGGTGGAGGGTATCCAAAGTTCGGCCCGGCCGAACTTACCGCTTTTTCACTTGTTCTAACTAAATTTAAGAAGTGAAAAAGGCGTTAAGTTCGGGCTATACTTTGCCATAGGTATACTGATAGTTACATGAAATGATAATATAGGGAACATACCAATAAGTATACCTATACCAACAATTGTACCAAGCGAATATTAATACTTTTTGGGAGGGGCGAACATTTAAACTTTTTTGAGGGAGATTTGTTACCAAATACGACGACATTTCAGAGAATTCGGCTGAAAACCACGATCAAGAACCACAAAATACCAAAAATTTGGGGGTACCCTTATAGGGGAGCTTTTTTGTCTGCAGGCAGATCAAGTTCGAAGGCCCACATTTATACAAAGCTTCCATATACATTTTCATCCGATTTCATATAAATGGTGTACCAAAAAACTTAATTTTCTACGATTGGGACGAATGTGTGTACAACGTACCAAATTGGAACAAGAATATGCACCAAATAATAACCGATTTCTCCCATCGAGATAAAATTTTGGACAGGGCACTGTGCTGCAGTGTACCAAATGGTATATCCTTACTGCTTTAAAATAAAATAGTTAATTGACTTGTTCGTTAATTCCTACACTATGTAATCAATATTGGTTACTCTTTAGGTATAGCCTCTGATAAGTTTACACTCTAAAATGCAGTAGTTTGAGGATTTTATATACATGATCCACTCTACCATGCGCTATCAATATAATTTCACTTTTTAGGGTTTTCTGATTTTAAGAAAGATCCCAATTAAAAATTTCTGAAATTTCTATCACTTTAGTCTTTGCTGCATAAAATTCAAGGTAGTTCAAAATATATATACACTGACGTATCTATTTCACGTATCAATTACGGGAATCTGAATGAAAATAAGTTCAAGAATTCATCTATTTATTACGCTTAATTCATGTACTTAATTCATTACGCTGTGCAAAATCGGTCAAACATTGCGAGTTAAATCTTTGTGGAAACGGATAAACATATTTATGGGAGATATATCTCAATACGTGGCCCATAAGATCGGACGAAAATATGTATCGGACCTACATAAATGTTGGGGTTCATAAGCTTCCAAATTTTGGGGCCCCAGTCGGTTCAAGATTTTAGTCCTGCACAGTCTTATTAAATCGGCCCACACTCAAGGTAAACTTTGTCGGAGCATTTCGTAATTTTCTATACAAAACAGTTTGTTTTTAATGTCGTCACCATGGATGCAAACGGTCATAACTACACTTTTACTAATTTTACACGAGAAGCAAAAACGTTATAATTGGATTGAGTCTAGAATGATTCGTGCTAAGTTTCGTGAAAATCGGTTCAGACTTCGAAAATCGGTTCAGACTAAAGAAATAAAATATTTCTCCGATATCGATAGAACTTTGTACAAGGTATTATTGAGTTTCTTTTATACCCTTCACCACACTGTGCTACAGGGTATTATGTCTTTGTGCATATGTTTGTAACAGGCAAAAGGAAACGAGATAGACACATGGTTCCTTTTGAGAATATGCATAGAATCACTTTTTAAGTCGATTTATGCATGTCCGTCCGTCTGTCTGCTTGTCCATGTTAAATTGTAAGTTCGCATTTATAATCGCAATTGGATGAAATTTGGCACAGGTCACTTATTTGGCCCAAGGGCGAACCTTATTTAGATATAGCTCCCATATATATTTTAATCCTATTTAATGTGAATGGTGCACCAAAGTCCCTTCATATCTTTCGGTTGGCACGAAATGTGGCACAGCGTAATGAATTAGGTCTAGGATGAGGTGTGTTAAGTTTCCTGAAAATCGGTTCAGATTTAGATAGAGCTCCCATATATATTTTCGTCCGGCCGAAAATACATATTGGAGCAATATCTAAATCTGAGCCGATTTTCGGGAAACTTAACACACATCATTCTATACCTAATTCATTATGCTGTGCCAAATCTAGTGCAAATCGAGAGATATATGGGGACTTTGTTGCACCATTTACATTAAATAGGATTAAAATATATATGGGAGCTATAATTTCGTATATATATTCGTATTAATTTCTCACAGAAAACGAAATAATTGTCCCGTTAATTGTTTCAGCAAAAATGATGCGAATAATAACTAATAGCTTACGACATTATGATGGTCTCCTACCATTTATAGGCAAAGAACAGCAAAACACAAGTAAAAACGAAAATAAATAAGAAATGATGTTAAACACAAGCCAAAGAAAATAACAAACATAGTCTAACGCAGCTGATGATGAAGAAGACGAAGATGTAACCACAAAATATGCCGTTCACTCTGCCGACGCATTTATGGCAACAAATATGGTTCGGTTGGTTGTTAGAGTAACAAATTATGATGAGATTATTAATTACACATGACCACAAATGGTGGGGATATGCCAAATTTGGTGGGATTACATGTGGTGAGGAATAGCAAAAAAAAAGGAGAAGAAGAAGAAAACATCATTAGAGTGGTAATGGCAGATGATAGATAATATGTTACTAGTGGCTATATTACTTCCCCGTAACCGGAAGAATGTGTGTTTGTGGGACGAATGCCATGAATATGGTATTGTATGAAGATATTCAACGAAAGGAATTTAAATGTGTGTAAACAAGAGGAATTCGGTTGCTGTAAATAACTACGATTAAGATTTAATAGGGAAACGAAGAGAATTTTATTATGAAAATATTCAGTAGAGATTTATTGTGGTTGCTGTGCCATAGTGTAGGTTATTTTGATATATAATGCAGAATATGAGAATTCACGAATAACCCCAATAAAAAACTCATCAAAATTTTTCCATAGAGCAGCACCTCCATTAGTTCATATTTTGAAGCTTTTAGTCACATTTTTCAATAGAATTGTTTCTATTTGGATATGTGGGGTTTTCTTTGAGCACAAAATCTCCTTATCAAAAATGATCAATATTGGGTCATGATACGGGGTAGCACCATATGTCGGTACGCCTAATATTCGGTGTTTGGACACGGTTTTTAACCTAATCAGCTGTAATTGGATATGATGATATTCCCAATCATCAGAGCGAAACATTGGCTGAGGTTGGTTTTAATCGATAGTTATATTTTAGGATTTTACAAACATAATCTTTGGAGCATATATTTTGTAGCGAAGGGCATTTATAATCCGTGCCGTTCGACTTTGAGCTTTTCCTTATTGTTGTCGTCTGTTATATTCGAAAATCTGATCAAAAGTACATTTCAAACCAGTAAGGAAAGTAGTAAAGTCGGACTGGGCCGACTATATGATACCCTTCACGACTTGGGGTATGTTGCACATATGTATCCTTACAATTGCATGTCAATGTTCCATCGAAGGAACATATTCATGTTCTTCTGCAACCTATGATACATTTAATTTCATTCGGGCATATTTAGAGTCGACTTCGTACAATGGGACAAATTTGTGGACACCGATTTATAGCAAAAATTATACACGCTATTCGGTACGCCGCACTGTTAAATAATAATTTCGGGCAAATCGAAATATATATGGGGACTTTGGTACCTTAAATCTGACGAAAATATATATGGGAGCTATATCTAAATCTGAACCGATTTTCACGAAATTTACAACACATCGTTCTAGACATAATTCAGTACGTTATGCCAAATTTCGTGAAAATCGATGGATATACAGGGACTTTGGTACACTATTTACCTAAAATCGGACGAATATATATATGGGAGTTATATCGAAATCTGAACCGATTTTCACGAAACATAGCACACATCATTCTGGACCTAATTCAGTACCCTATGCCAAATTTCGTGCAAATCGAGATATATATAGGGACTATAGTGCACCATTTACATAAAATCGGACAAAACTGTATATGGGAGCTATATCTAAATCTGAACCGATTTTCAGGAAACTTAGCACACATCATTCTGGACCAAATTCAGTACTCTATGCCAAATTTCGTGCTAATCGAGAAATATATAGGGACTTTGGTGCCTATATCGGACGAATATATATATGGGAGCTATATATAAATCTGAATCGATTTTCACCAATTTCAATAGGGTTCGTCCTTGGACCAAATAAGTGACTTGTGCCAAGTTTCATCCAAATCGGATCATAAATGCGACCTGTACTTTGTTTACAATTTAACATCTACAGACGGACGGACGGACATGCATATTTCGACTCAGAAAGTGTCTATCTCGATTATTTTTGCCTGTTACAAACATATGCACAATGACATAATACCCTGTACCACAGTGTGGTGAAGAGTATAAAAAATTTTCTACTTACTTTGTTGTCATATAAATTCGCTTCCCCGGCTTTAGATGCATCACAGTTATCATCCTTGCTGTTCCTGCTATTGTTGTTGGCGATAATGGCGGTCGCCGCATTAACATTCTTCTCTTCCACAGTAACCGCATGACTACTATTATCGGCAACATTTGATGTTTCGTTATCAATCGATGCAACATTGCAGGCACCGCCTCCACTACCCGAAGAATGTGGTGTACTTCGGTTTGCAGCCTCTTTGGTATGTTCCGTTTGAAAATGTGTTTCCAAAGCCGTTGGATTTGGAAACAATTTAAAGCACAATTGGCAAATATGAGCTTGTGGTGGCAAACCTGTAAGGAAGAAATAATGAAAATAAATATAATATCGTGCAAATCACATTTTGCAAAATTAAACATTAATTTTTGTCAACATCGAATGAACACCGTTTAATTACTAAATGTTCATAACATTGTAACGTGTGTTAATTGGGTATAAATTTTCTTTTGCTAAATGTATGTATCAAAATTGTTTTCTTTCTTTTTTCTGAGCAGATTGACATGAAATCAAGTCACACGCACAAAATGTGAACACCCAACATTGTGTGTATCTCAGTGCGTCAATTTTTTATAGTTCCTCATTGTTTTTGTTAGTTGTTTAATTTTGCTGAACGGCGTTGACATTAAATAAAAATACTGTCATGTTTAAAATTAAAATTTATTTTTATTTAAGTTTTTCTATTCGTTTAGGAGCACAGATAGACTAAAACAGAAAGACTTAATACAAAAATAAAATTTTTGCGAATCATATTGATATTCCATACTGTCAGGGAGTATTAAGGTATTCACAATTATTAAGGTATCCATAAGAAAATATAAATCGGATAGGATCGGAAGCTGTTTCATTAAAATTCGCCCTACCAACTTATTTTCTCAGGTTTAGATGTAGTTCGCATATATATGTTCGTCCAATTTTCTGTAAATGGTACACTAAACTCCCGTAGTTTTTCCGATTCGGGCGAAATTTGAAATTTCGTGCTATATTGAGTGACGTGTGTTGAATTTAGTGAAAATCGGTTCAGATACAGATATAGCTCCCGATTTTCTGTAAATGGAGTCCTAAAGACCAAAAATATGACCGTATATAATATAACGTGTGTCAGGTTTTCGATTCCGATTTCGATAAATCTCCCTTACGTATTTTCGTCCGATTTTAAGTTATTGGTGTACCAACGACCTAAAATATGTCCCATTGGCACCAACTTTTTCCAAAATTACTGATGTTCGTAAAGCCCCACCTGTGGCAAATTTCGTTGAAATCGGTTGAGGTTTAGATACTGCCTCCATGTATATTTTCGCCCAATTTTATGTCAATGGTGTACCAAATATTCATAGTTTGGCCGACTGACACACACTTTAGTACAATGAACTGAAGTTAATAACGCCTAAAGTGTTTCAAGTTTTGTTGCAACCGATTCAGATTTAAATATAGCTCCCATATATATTTACGTGAAATTTTAGGTAAATGGTGCACCAAACTCCTCATATTTACGCGAATTTGTCAAAATACGTTTTTGCAGTTTTTTCTACCTTCAAGATACCCATATCCATGGGCTGGGGCTCATTAGATTCGGCACGTAGAAAACTAAAATCACGCGGGGTCCAACGACATTTGAGTGGACCTTTTCAAATTTAGACTTAAAAAAATAGGTTTTTAATAAAAATTTACGCACTAAATTTTCGTCTATGGAATTCAATTGCTGAGAAGCTATGTTGAGCACATTCATGAGATATACACTAAACGAAGCAAAATCACGAGTTCTACAATCCTATAATCACTTTAGGCCATTATCTGGTTGCACGTCCTTATTATAAGAAAAATTCAAAAAAACACCGAAAATTCGGCTTCAAAATGTCAGCATCCGTTTTGAGTGGATGCAGTGATTATATCGAAAAATCATATATCAAATCATCATATTGTCCATGGGGTATTCTTCAACTTAGTCACTGATAATAAGTGCGAGCGTTGTGTAGCTTATCCACAAATTAGGAATGAGCATAAAAAACTTCTTGGCTTCAACACATTTTCACCCATAATTTTACATTACCACCATCACAGCTTCCAATCAACTTCTTATTTATTAAAAATATTTTCAGATTTTGACAAAAACACTTCATTTCATAGAAATGAATTTGAATTATATGCAATATGTTCATATTTCAAACCTCAGCTTCAAGGGATTTAATTTCCCATATACCTCACATATTTGCAAAGAAATTTCTCACCCTTTAAGAACCTAGAATGTTCAAATACAACTACTTCGATAAAAAAATGCAAATTTTTTGCATATACCTGTATGTGGATTAAAATTTATAATTATACCCTTCACCACACTGTGGTACATGGTATTATGTCTTTGTGCATATGTTTGTAACAGGCAAAAGGAATCGAGATAGACCCATGGTTCCTTTTGAGAATAAGCATAGAATTTCTGAGTCGATTTATGCATGTCCAACCGTCCGTCTGTCCGTCCGACCTTGTGTTTTTGTGAACAAAATATAGGTCGCATTTAGGGTTCGATTGGGATGAAATTTGGCACAGTTCACTTATTTAGCCCAATGACGAACCGTATTGAAATTTCAGATTTAGATATAGCTCCCATATATAGTTTTGTCAGATTTTATGTAAATGATTCACCAAAATCCCAATATTTGTTCGATTAGGACAAAATTTTGCACAGAGTACTGGATTTTTGTGAATGATACACCAAACTCCCAATATTTGTCCGATTGGGACAAAACATTGTACAGAGTACTGAATTAGGTCCAGACTGATGTCTGCGAAGTTTTGTTAAAATCGGTTCAGATTTAGATATAGGTCCCATATATAGTTTCGTCCGATTCGTCCATATATAGTTTCGTCCGATTCGTCCATATATAGTTTCGTCCGATGATACACCAAACTCCCAATATTTGTCCAATTGAGCATAATTGTGCATAGCAAATGCAATTGTGGAAAAATTATGTGTGATAAGGTTTGTTGAAATCGGTTCAGAATTTGATACAGGTCTTATATACATTTTCGTTCGATTTTATGTAATTGGTGCACCGAAATTTGGCCGATGGTATTAAATTGAAAAAATAGTGTATGTAACGGTTATATATATATATATATATATATATATATAGTTATACATACAAACGGTACTCCAAAGAATCCAAGTCAGCCCATTTTATATGCCATTTTTCATTCATTGATTTCAGAATGGTATGTGTATGAGTTTTTGTCAATTGGTTCAAATATCTATCTAGATAGCACATTTAACCCTTTATTGCCCAATGTTGCCCACAGGCAACAAAATGTTTTAGAGGTTACATTTATTATACAGCTTGTAGATATGCATTCTTTGGAATTCCTATGTCAAGACCTGCTTGTGGACAACACATATCACAAGAAAAATCTAAAAAATTCAAACTTTTGGTAAAGTTATGATCTTTTTAATACAGAGAAGAGGGCAAAAACGTGTACAGTACTAATTTGTTTATACAGTCCAAATTATTTAAATCGCTTCGTATTCGAAATGTACCAATTCTGGCATCAGAATTAATTTTGATTCTTGTAAAACAGAATACAGAGAATGATATAAAATGATTTTTTCGTCGAATTTGCACTTGGTTTTCTTGATATTGGGCTTTTATTTTTCAGAAAGAATGTACTGTATCTCCCGAATGCAAGGATAAAGCAATGTCAAATTTTGTCCATATGCTATCTACGATAGTTGCTTTAAATCTGTGAACATAAAATTCGTCTATGATTACGGAAAAAATTCGGGGCTCAAAGGGTTAATTTCGCCCGATTCCATCTCAATGGTCCTCCAAAGATTCTATGTCTGTTCTATCTATAGGATATTATAGATATTAACATTTCCTGTATGTACCCAAAGGGGTGAAGGGTATCATATAGTCGGCCCGTCCGACTTTTGATCTTTATACCCTTCACCACACTGTAGTACATGGTATTATGTCTTTGTGCATATGTTTGTAACAGGCCAAAATAATCGAGATAGACCCATGGTTCCTTTTGAGAATATACATAGAATCACTTTCTAAGTCGATTTATGCATGTCCGTCCGTCCGTCCGTCTGTCCGTCTGTCTGTCCATGTTAAATTGTAAACAAAGTACAGGTCGCATTTATGATCCGAATTGGATGAAATTTGGCATAGGTCACATATTCGGCCCAAGGACGAACCCTATTGAAATTGGGAAAAATTGGTTCAGATTTGGATATAGCTCCCATATATATATTTAACCGATTTAAAGTAAACGGTCCCTATATATCTTTCGATTTGCACGAAATTTAGTACATCCTAATCATTTAGGTCTAGAATGATGTCTGCCAAGTTTCGTAAAAATCGGTCCAGATTTAGATATAGCTCCCATATATAGTTTCGTCCGATTTCATGTAAATGGTGCACCAAAGTCCCTATATATTTTTCGATTTGCACAAAATTTGGTACAGCCTAAGCACTTAGGTCTAGAATGATGTCTGCCAAGTTTCGAGGAAATCGGTCCAGATTTAGATATAGCTCCCATATATAGTTTTGTCCGATTTCATGTAAATGGTGCCCCAAAGTCCCTATATATCTTTTGATTTGCACGAAATTTGGCATAACGTACTGAATTGAGCCTAGAATGCTGTCTGCCAACTTTCGAGAAAATCGGTCCAGATTTAGATATAGCTCCCATATATAGTTTCGTCCGATTTCATGTAAATGGTGCACCAAAGTCCCTATATATCTTTCGATTTGCACGAAATTTGGCATAACGTATTGAATTGAGCCTAGAGTGATGTCTGCCAAGTTTCGTGAAAATCGGTCAAGATTTAGATATAGCTCCCATATATAGTTTCGTCCGATTTCATGTAAATGGTGCACCAAAGTCCCTATATATCTTTCGATTTGCACGAAATTTGGCATAACGTACTGAATTGAGCCTTGAAAGATGTCTGCCAAGTTTCGAGAAAATCGGTCCAGATTTCTATATAGCTCCCATATATAGTTTCGTCCGATTTCATGTAAAGGATGCACCAAAGTCCCTATATATGTTTCGATTTGCACGAAATTTGGCATAGCGTACTGAATTAGTTTCAGAATAATGTGTGCCAATTTTCGAGAAAATCAGTTCAGATTTAGATATAGCTCCCATATATAGTTTCGTCCGATTTCATGTAAATGATGCACGATTTGCACGAAATTTGGCATAACGTACTGAAAATCGGTCCAGATTTAGATATAGCTCCCTTTTATTATAGATTGATTATAAGTAATTGACGCACCAAGGATCCAATAGGCTG